TACATGGTTTAAGGCAAATTTCGTAATTTGTTGAACATTGTGTCGTGTTTCTTAAAATTCAAATTTCTAGTGCTATTTTTGACATTTGGTTTCTCGCTCGAGTTTCACCTAGCCTTCGCTTGAGCGACAAAAGCAGTTTGCTTGTCATCCGAATCTCGCTAAGGCCTCGCTCGAGCGACAGGTCAATTTTAAAAGGTCCTATTTCATTTTTTCGCGCAACTTCTTCCATTTCACTCTTTTTTTCGTTTCTTCTTGACTTCTTCCATATTTCGTCCATTGATCACATAAATTCGGGGCCCTAAAACAATTGTTCTTCCAGATTTCCATTGCTACACATCAAATTGAGGTATTTTTTTTCTTTTTTTTCGTTTTTTTTGTTTTTCATTCTCCTCATGTGTTTTGCTTATTTTTGTGTTTTTGCTTGATTGCTCCTTCATTAATGTAGGCTTTGTCCTTCCTGTGTTTCATTAGATGTTATTTCACGCGTTTTGCATCACGATTTCCATTGAATTGTTCGTTTTTTCATTCATTTGGTTATGTGGTTTTCATGTTTTTCTTCCATTTTCATTAAGTCCATTCTTGCATTCTGTTACTCCGTTTCTTGTGTGGTTTGTTTCATTTTAAAGAGCATGTTTTCTAGTTTGTGGGACTGTGCTTGGTTGTGTGGTTGCGTCTCGTATGTACTTGAAATTGTATACCAAAGTGATGCACGCCACATGTTCGATGCAAGTCCTTAGTTATATGTTTTTTTTGTTTCCTTCATTTTTGTGCTTCAATTTTCTTTCTTTCCTTTCCGTCATTGTTTCATTGCCATCCCGTGCCATGTTGAGTGTTTTTTACACATATTTTTGGTGTATATTTACATCATGCTTCGTTTGCTCTACGGGTCGTTCACGTTTTTCAATGCATCTCTTTCGTGCCTCGTTTGAGTGTGCAGTGTTTCACATCATAGTATCGTATCACGTGCATTCTTCATCTTACTTATTAGTTCCGTCTCTCCGTATGCCAGATGGCCCGTAAGCGTTCTCGATCCTTTGCACAGCCAGCTGGTGGTTCGACGTCGTATAGTAGTTCCAGATTCATTTCTGCTACAGCACAGGAGGTTTTCACTTTTCAGTTCTCCTTACGCCCCGTTCTCGTGGAGCGTGAGGTAATCTTATCTGACCTTCCTATTGATATCGCCGTCATTTTTGTTTCCCGGGGTTGGGAGCCCCTTCTTGTTGGTCTTTCACCTCCTCCCCCACTCCTCGTTCAGGAATTCTATGCTAATATTCATGATATAGACGGCTCGTCTTTTCGGGTTACTCTTAGAGGTCATTCTTTTAGGGTGACTCCGTCGGCTGTAGCTCATGCTTTAGGTATACCTCAGATTACCCATCCGACTTATCCCTATATTTTACCTGTTTCTATTCCGACCGATGCTCTTGTTCGGTCGACGCTTTTGAACACCCCGTCTATCGGGGGGCCTTCGACGATGGCCACAAGGTCATTACCTACTGATCGTCAGGTGTTGTTGCGCATAGTGTATACAAACCTGTGGCCTGTTGCCCATACCTCTTTATTACCTATGGTGCGTACCCGTTTTCTTTATGCCCTTCTTCATGGGGACTCGATCGACTTTCCTAGTTTTGTGTGTCAGAATATTCTGGCTTCATTTCGTACTCATGGGAGTCGGATCGGGTTGCCTTATGCTTGCTTGATTCATAGGGTTGCTTTGTCGTTGGGTGCTTCCTTTCCAGATGGTTCGACTTGTAGCATAGGACGTCCGATAGGACAGCAGACCATTCATCAAAGTCGATCCCATGTACCGTCATCTTCCTCTTCTGCTCATGCTACGGGTCAGGCAGTGGCCGTTGATGTTTTTCATCTTTCGGAGTCCTTTGATCCTATTACTGAGATTCTTACTGGGGATTCCCGTGTGTTTCTCCCGCCTCGTACGGATTATCCTTCGGCCATTCCACTTAGTTCTGCCTTTCTTTCGACATCTACTTCTGCTCCTAGGATGGCTGCTTTGCCCGTTGACCCCATGGTGACGCTTATGGGACAGATGTCTACTTTGGTCGAGCAGCAGGCTCGTATGTTGGCAGAGATCACGCAGTTACGTGCTGCGTCGGAGCATCAGTCAGCTGAGCTTTCTTCTTTTCACCGTGCTCTTGCAGTGTGTCAGCGTCATTTGTGTTGGATTTGTGATAGTATGGAGGAGGACACGAGTGTTGAGAGCGGAGCTGAGTCTTCAGATGCTGGAGGTGCTGCCTCGTAGTTAGTTAGTTAATTGTTTTGATCCTTTCTCCTTTGTGATAAAAAGGGGGAGTAGATATTTGGATAGATGATTTGATAGATAGATACCGATATTTGGATAGATAGATATAAATTTTTTGGTGACTAGATTAAGTTTTTGATGTTTTGGCAATACCAATGTATGTTTTTGGTGTTTTTGACTTACATTATTATTGTTTCTTAATCTGGTTAATGATATATGATCTATTTCTTGTTTTTATTTACCGTTTTCATTTCACATGCTTTTACACTTGGTATTTGAGTTTTTGATTTTCAGGAAACATGTTCAACAAGAGATTGCTAATTTGGTTGAATAGATATGTTGTTTGGAGTCATGTTTATTTCTTCCTTGACTGTCATATGTATTTTTGTCACAGAATGCCAAAGGGGGAGTTTGTTAGGAAAATGTGTAATTGGCAATCTGTGACCAAAGGACCTATTTGTCTTGTTTGTAAAGTCAGGGACTAAATTGTAAAGGTCTAATAGTTCAGGGACTAGAGTTGCAATTTAATAAATTTCATAGCATAGGTCTAGGGTAAAGTGGGATGCTTTGAAGATGCAAACGGCGCGTTGATTTCGCTAGAGTTTCGCCCTGACCTTGCTCGAGCCAAAATTGCAGAACTGCTCTCGTTGGAGTTTTGCTGGGCAGTCGCTCGAGCGAAGGTGCGTCGCTCGAGCGACGGTGTTATCTAGCTATTGGTAATTTTAATGCCTTGCGAATTTTTAACGCTCCATATTTCCAAATTTGACCTACTATATAAACAAAACGTCCGATTTTCATTATACACCTTTGGAAAACATTCAAACAAGAACCTCTTTTAACTTCCAAAGGATTAAGAGCCAAACATTCGATCTTTTTCATCTTTTGATTCTCATGATTTTTGAATAAAAACATCAACCATCACAAAACCAAAAACACCCCTTCATATCTCCATACCAACTTCCAGAAGATCATCTGTTTGAAGATCCGGGAAGGAAATTGCTTGAAGAGCTAGAGTGCTTGGTGATTCACGAGAAGTAGAAGATATTCAATGCTGGGATTTTGGCGCAGATCTGCAGAATCCAGGAGAGATTTGGTTGATACGGTAAGGAGGTCAGAGAATTGTTAGTTTCAATTATCTCTAGCGTACTGTAAGTCAATATCTTCGATAGTGGATCTCTACTGGCTTGTGCTCGGAGTTTTTACCCAGTTGGATTTTCTCCGTCAACATTTTGTGGTGTTTTTACTGCTTTTTGTTATTTATTTTTCAACCGGTAATTCAATTTAGATAGATAAAGTATGTGAATAAATCTAGGCAATGCATAATTTATGTGACTTGTTGCATAAGTTAATTAATTGTTTTAATTCCGCATAAACACCTATTCATCCCTCTCTAGGTGTTGGTTGGGTCGAACTATTTCTTTTTCAATGATTTTTAGTTTGATGCAAAATTGGTGTAAAATGGAGCAAATTTGGGTGTTGGTTTGGAGATGACCTGAAAGCTTGATAAATTAGCACTCTTTTGTTCTTTGGTATCATACTGTTTGGTGCATAATTAATTGAATCTGAGTAGTTGAAATACTTACCAGACTCATCGAAATTCTCAGTGTCTTTCGTGAGCCTAGCATCAGTACTGAACTGAGCCGTAGCTCTCTCCATGTTCATGTTGCTAGCTTCGACCATGTTTGGCTAAGCTTGAAATAGAAGTAAAAAGAGTGTTTTAAGCTATTTTTTAACAAGTTACTCTCTAAAAAGGAAAGCTCAGCACTGGTTTTAATTTTCTTCGTCTTCTTGTTTCATCGAGGCTGTTTATTTGTGACTGTTGAGCTATTTGCTTTGCTCCGTAACTCCATTCTATGGTGCTGTTTTTGATAAAGATTAATGTCACTACTCTTTTTGACTCTCCGACACCAGCGGCAGCGTCCTCCACCTTGTAGGTTATACCTATCTCTTTCATACTATGATGCAGTTATCTTCTTCTAATTGCAATATTACAGGCTTCTGATGACAGTTCTATTGCAGTACACAAAAGTAATTTGGATTAAACGGCGTTTAATGAGTATGACGTCATTTGTTGTCGCGCGGTCGTACCAGGAGGACCTTCAATATGTTTTTTTTCTTTTTTTTTTTTTTAAATTGATTTTATGGTGATGGGAAATCAACTTGAGGAGCGTGTGACGTACGCTCCATTTAGGAGCAAATTTTCATACTACTCTCTTTCCGCGAAGCACCACGTGGTCACATTTCATTTTATCTACTTGGGTCGGGTCCCACGTCCGTCAACAATCAATCTCAGCCGTACTTTTGTCCTCCAGAAATTGAAACAATAAAAGGCTCAGATCATCTACACTTTTTTTTTAAATTGATTTTATGGTGATGGGAAATCAACTTGAGGAGCGTGTGACGTACGCTCCATTTAGGAGCAAATTTTCATACTACTCTCTTTCCGCGAAGCACCACGTGGTCACATTTCATTTTGTCTACTTGGGTTGGGTCCCACGTCCGTCAACAATCAATCTCAGCCGTACTTTTGTCCTCCAGAAATTGAAACAATAAAAGGCTCAGATCATCTACATTCAAACCCCTCGAACTACGCTTTATAAATTGTACATTTATGACAAATTTACTCTTACTATGACTTATCTAACCCATAGAAGCCTATGTACAATCACTGGGCGTGAATTTTATTATAAGGCAGACTCCAGAGGAGTTGCCCACCTAACTATCTATAAATACACGCATTGGAGCGAAAAAAGCGCGTTGTAGAGAGAGAGAGAGCCCGCTGGAGAGAGAGAGTGGGGGGACTTCTTTTCCACAGGTATAGATATACACATAATGTATCTATAACTCGCATCGAAATTTTCTTTGTATATTCGTCAACGGATAATTGTTCTTTTAATTAGATACCTATTTGTGCAGATAATCATCATTTGTATGTCTATAAAGTAGATATGATATATGTATATATGAACACAATTATAGGCGATAAAGAGTTTCTTTTGCAACTGGTTGAGTTCAGGTATGTTGTTTTAATTTTGGGGTTTTTATTTAATATGAGTTAAGGGCTCTGAAATTAAATAATGTTTTATATATAATTGTTAATGTCCTATAAGTTAATTATGAACTGTTATACGATGCAATTGAAGTGCTTGAATTGAGTTGACTTCGATCTCGTGGGTTTACTTGAATTAAGTAGGGTTTTATAGGAAGAAAGTTGGGAGTATTGGGTCTGGATTCCATTTTACGTGTTTTTTTAGTTAAGTCTTTCGAGTCAAACCTTAATTTTATATTTTTCCTATTGTTTTAGATGGTAAACTTTAAGATGTAAGTGCTTTTACATAGATGCAACATGTAAGCAACAAAAACAAGATGTTGTATGTATATACAGTGATCTCTTACCAGGAATTTTTTTATTTCTTGTTTTTGAAGCACTCGGGAAGTTTCTCAGTTCTTTTAAATTTCCCCTTTTCTTTGGAAGGTTTAATAGCTTCTTGTATGGATAACCACTTGGTTGATTATTGTTTGTGGAAGGATTTAGTGATTTTAAGCATAAAGATTACATTTTGACTATGTTCTGTTGAACTGAGGAAACTAATATGGGTCAAGATGGAAACTTAATGTCACAATTGAGAAAACAGGCGAATATATGTTTGCGTAATATTTTCAAATTATTGGAAAAGACTCTGCTCTTTTGTGATATCACCTAAATTGGGATTTGCTTCTTTTTTGTTGGGTTTAGTTGCTATTTTATCTAGTCAGTTGAGACTTATCATTGAATAAGATGGTCTGATATACTGAATAAAAAAACTTAGATTACTTCAATTACAAGGTAATTTTTTTGTTCTCTCTTTTTAACGCATCTAAATATTTAAAATTGATATATTTAAGTACTGTATGAGCAAAAGATAGGAGATCCACCACATAAGGATCTTTTTTGTTTTCTTTTTTGTTTTCTAGACTTCATTAGGAAATCCAGGCCAATTTTAGTATCATGAATAAATGAATGTCATAACCTGAAGATGAGCATAAACATAATGGTTCTTCCCATACTAAATTAGTGGTGGAGCCAAGATTTTCACTTATGGGGGCGAAAAAATGTTGTTGGGGTATTTATATATATGTATTATGCATATATTTAAAAATTGATATATAAATCCACCATAAAACGAGGAAAAAAAATTTAAAATGTTGTGTGGGACAATCGCCACACCTTTCCTCAATTGTGGCTGGGCTACTGGAAATTACTTAGGGGTATGTTTTATTGTAAGCATGGAAGTTTTATGGGGAAAAAATAAGCAATTGAATTGCCTAAAATTTGTTTGAATGAAAATTGTCAATTAAATGTTTTTAATTTGTCTAATCTTTAGCCTAGAAAATGTTGTAATTTCCATAAAGTTGAGTTTTTGGGAAGTGTGAATTGCCTAGAAAATAAAAACTCATACCCCGTAAAGAATTTTTTTCTTATTTTTGAGGAAAACATGGTCACATGACCAATTTTTGGAAAACATTTTTCGGACAAATAATGTCAATCAAACACCCAAAAAATAGGAATTAGGTTGGAAAAAGTACATTTTCCATGGAAATAAAGCTAATAAAACGGAAAAAGTACATTTTCCATGGAAATAAAGCTAATAAAACACACCCATAGTAATAAGTTCCAGGGAAAGAGAAGGAAAATTAGAATTTTATATGAAATCCATTTAGGTCATCTTTTCAAATTTGGAGAACTTTTTGTCAATTAATTTTCTTTCTATTTAAAGTTTCTGTGTGCAAGGTAATTTTTCCTATTTGTCATTTAAGTTAAGAATCTGAAAAATATAATACGATTTGATGCTGGCTATTGATTTCTAATATAGTTTTCTGGAACTATTACTGTGATTAGTTTTAAATCTGTTTTTAAAGAACAACATTACAGATTTATTCTGTGTTATTGATTTCATTGTAGTATGTCTTTTCATCTAGTTGCTGAATTTCATTTTTCTTTTTACTAGTTTTATCTTATCCATTTTTTTACTGTAGTCTCCTGGGGCTGATCTGATATTTTGAAGAGGTTTGTTCCCTGCTAATGTTCTCGAAGCTATACTGTGATAGATATCACAAGCACAGACCAAATGCCATCACTAAAAATGAAAACCAAGTCGGCCACTGGGTGTTTAAGAGAAAGAGATGGCCTCCGCGTATGCCGAAAGTCAAGCATGATAACTAAGAGTCCTCTCTCTCAAGCCAGAATTTCTCAAAATACAGAAGAAGTTGAGACTGTGGTTGATACTTGTCGGGATGGTAAGTGATGTAGTTCCAGTATGGCAATATCCCATTTCCCATATATATATTTTTTCATTTTGGTTGTGATGGGGCTAAAAATACTACCTATTCTAAATAATTTTATCTTACCATTCGATATAACAGATAACTAATGTTTCCTATAGCACACTATCTATAGCAGAAAACTGTAACACGGTATCTACAAGGAAGATTTTTGTAAATCAGTCTAAATATATTTATATAACATACACACTTGTGCACACAAGCATCACACAAGCATGTGTGTGATGATTTTGCATAATTGAGCTTGTGAAGCATGTTTAGCTAGGAATACTCTTAATAGCATCAATAAGGAAAGTGTGTAAGGTTTGTCTTAACGACATGCAATTGAATTATTGTAATTGTAAAGAGAGTTTAATGTGTCTTAATGATGTGCAATTGAATTATTGTAATTGTAAAGCGAGAATTTCTATCTTCATTTTTGTTGATTGGCAAACTACTTTTTATTATATCTCTTGAAGTTGTCCTCTGATCCATGCATCAGTTCCTTTTCTAGCTCATAAATGTGTTTGGTTACGAGTTTCTACATTTTGAATCAATCGATACTTTTTCATTGCACTCGCAGTTTCTTCGTGCGACAAAGTATATTCTCAGGACATTAGAGGGGATGAAGCCAATCATAATGAGGTGCACAATGGAAACAGTCATTTTCCGAAGCAAGAATCAACTACTGGTGATTTTGCAACTGATGGATGCACGGTAAAGATGCGATCATTGCTTTATTTGCTGATTTTATGAATTGCCCCATTAAAAAAATGGTAAAGCGGTGTAAGAAAGATGTGTAGAGTGGATGATAAACAGGATTTTTCAAACATGGTTGACTCTTCACCCAACTTTTTTCTTTGACTCTCTGGAAGTGGATTTAAAAACCCTTTTTTTTTTTTTAGAAGCCTTAACTTCTTGATGTGCCCGACTGAATCATCAAATATGCAATCAAGTGCTTACCTTTGTTGTTTCAATAATCATAGGAATCCACAACATCCACTTGCTCCTCAAGCTTAGAGACTATTTTCTCTCCTATATTGGAGGCCATGAATTTCCATTGGGGTAAAGGTACACCCTAAAACTCTGCTACTTGATTCTTTCTTAATGTTGAATGCAATATTATAATTTTCTGAAATGACTTTAATTTCAAAAAAAAATCTGGAGATTTGCAACATTTTCCTTGCTGTTTCTCTTAAAACAAGGTTGTAGAGAAACTTTTCTAACAAGAGGTGAAGCAAAAGTGAAGATTATTTGTTACTTCACATTGATCTTCTTTCCAAAAGTATTTACTATTTACCAAACTGATTAGCTGGTCTTAGTGATTTCAAATAGCTGTATAGGCAGTTTCTAACGAGTATAAATTTTACCTCTCCTATTGTTATTTGGTTAGTTTAATTGTTTTTAGGTGTAGGTCACCTGCAAAGTGTCGTTTTAGCGTTTACTGAACCCTTGACAGTAAATCTTCTGCTTTGATAAAACACGTTCCCTTGGGGAAGTTTGTATGCAGACTATATACTACATCTACTAAACGGTGGTGTATAATTATACTTCTTAAGACGGATGTGCAAAATAGTTTCTGTACATCTCTATTCTTTGTGCGTATGAAATAGCCATGAAGATGGCTACTGTGCTTGAGATAATTTCTTTCGCAACTTAAGAGTTTCTTGGTGTTTCTTTTTTATGCATTTGGTATGGTCTGTAAAAGCATTCACTACATAACTACGTTGATATGCTCTTTGAGCTTTGAAGACCTGAAGTATTTGGAGTTGACAATAGTTCTGGCGCTGTTCATTTCTCTGTAGGAAGTGACAATCTCTGTGTGCCACTCTTGGATGTGGAAAACAGTGACGATAGCAGCAGAAGGTCTTCTGAGCATCAAGATTGCAATGTATCGGATTTCTACATCTCTGACATGATTTTTTCTGGATTGCCCATTGAAAGAAACTTGTCCTTTGATAATAATGTAGATTCTATGTTCTTACCTGATTACAAATGTGAAGAGTCAAATATATTTTGTGATTTGGCTGAGGACTACATGGTATTGCCTCTTCTTGAGGATACTTTGGAAACTAGATATGATCACGGTGGCAAAGCATCTGGAGAAATCATCAGCAATGCCAATGATTCAAGCTTATATTTGGCAATTCATCAACTGAGATCCTCCAACCAAGATACTGACATTAATATCTATCCCAACTCCGACCAAGCAGATTCTTTCGATCCACAGATTTATATCAGAAATCTCCCTGACCAGCTGGATGCAATATCGACATTGCCGCATGCCAATATTCTAAAAGAAAAGCAAAAAACTAAACAGATCACATTAGTTCTCGACTTGGATGGTAAGTACATAGTGCCCCAAATATCCGTTGGTGATTTTGTTCTATTCAACTATTCCAAGATGTCCAATTTAACAATTCCTTGATAAATTTTAAGTCAGTCATTTGATATTACTTTTTAGATAGTTCTCCTGATTTGTTATACTAGGAAAGGGCATAGCATGATGGTAATTCAATGAGAAATTAGGTAAACCTTTTGCCAGCTTCCATGAAGTGGTTTTTCTTTTGTTTGGACATAAACTAAGATAAGTGAACTTAAAAGGTGTGCAACTCCTCAGCATGAAGCAAGCCTGTGATACCTTGCAGCTTCTTCTTTTCCTTGTGAATTATTCATGTATCTAAGCTTTAAATTGGTATTCTGAAGGCATTTGACCTATTATTAAGAGCATCGTTCTAACAGTTTAACGTTGCTTTTATGTCTACAGAAACACTCGTGCATTCTACACTTGAATTCTGTAGTAATGCAGACTTCACATTTCCTGTTTTCTTTAACATGAAAGAGCATATTGTGTATGTGAAACAAAGACCTTACCTTCAGATGTTTTTGGAAAGAGTTGCTGAGATGTTTGAGACAGTAGTGTTCACTGCTAGTCAAAGCATCTATGCAAAACAACTTCTAGACATTCTGGATCCAGACGGAAAGCTTATTTCAAGACGAGCATATCGTGAATCATGCATATTTGCAGAAGGAAATTACATGAAAGACTTAACAGTTTTGGGTGTTGATCTTGCAAAAGTTGCCATTATTGATAATTCTCCACAGGTAGAAAACTTGTCTTATTTCCTTCGATTTATGAGTTACATCTTTCGTGTTATAGATCCACACTATTAGTCGTAAGATGAAGGATATTGAACCCCTCTTGTCAAAAGAGGCTGCTAAATGTGATTATGGTGTGTTATAAAATGTACGTTTGAAATATTTTGTCACAAAACTACCTCTTACTATATATTATCTGGAGCATTATTTTCTGCTAATGGGAGGTGTGAATGGAGGGAGACTGCAGGCAGAGTGCCATGAAGATTTAGGATTATTACCTCCCCGATTGGCAAAGAAGTTAACAGATTTGTTGGGTGCTACTTGCTTCGTGTAAATCAGATTCAAGGGTGTGCATCCAGTTGTATGGAGCATTGTAGAAAAGCTAGTTTAATTAACAGTAGGTGGAGAAAAATAGTTCCTTCCTACTACACAACCCAAATTCCTTGATTTTGAAAGTGATTTCTTTTGTTGATTTCAGGTTTTCAGGTTGCAAGTGAATAATGGCATTCCTATTAAGAGTTGGTTCGACGACCCAGGAGACACTGCACTTATTTCACTACTTCCATTCTTGGAGACTTTGGTTGATGCTAATGATGTTCGGCCCATAATTGCTAGGAAATTCGGTAACAAGGAATAAGAGCTCCTTGTCTCTCCTTAGTATTTCTTCAATTGCTCCTTTCGTCTTCATGTCATTTTAAGCAAAACCATCGCTGATTTTAGATGCTCATTATTTATACCTCCTCGATCCTTGATATAATTGTCTATACAATAAAATGGCATCACCTTGTTGAGTCCACTTTTATTGCTAGTTTCTTTTTGTTATCCTGTCTTTCTGAGAATCTTGTTAGTTGTTTAGGCTAGCAGAAGGTATTGAACAAGAGGTTCTTTCGGTTTGCATTGTACAGCCGTAGATGCTCAGTTGTTTCCTGTATGGTTCGACTTTTGTGGAATAAATTGTGATTTTATTTGTGTTTATTTCAATCCACCTAGCGTGAAACATATGTTCAACTTTCACTATGAATACATATAATATTTGTGAACTTTCATGGCTGGAGAAACAAACCTTATAAAACACAAGGTTGGAATTAAGCATTCGTATCAGCTGTGGACCAGCGGTAATATTCTGAAGGGCATTATTCAGAAAGTTACATATACTATGATGTCGTGACTGTTTGTTCTGATACTTAGATCAGTAACCATTATAAGCTTAGATTTGTCACTATGAATACATATAATATTTGTGAACTTTCATGGCTGGAGAAACATACCTTATAAAACACAAGGTTGGAATTAAGCATTCGTATCAGCTGTGGACCAGCGGTAATATTCTGAAGGGTATTATTCAGAAAGTTACATATACTATGATGTCGTGACTGTTTGTTCTGATACTTAGATCAGTAACCATTATAAGCTTAGATTTGGAAACCGCAGTTATGTTAGTAAAACCCGATATACTTACCAATGGAAGAATCAAGTCAGTATAAGCTTGTTGGTTATTGAGTGCAGAAAATTTTGGTGTCACCATGTTTGTTGTGTTGAGTCAAAGTTTCATGATACTTGTCAAGCATAAAATACAGTGAAATTGTTTTGTGTAATAGCCATCAGTGTCTTTTTCAGCTTCACCCCTACCAACAGAATAGACAGAAAATTCCCTTTTGTGGTTTTGGAAAACCATAGAATGAAATTTTCGGAAGAAATTTCATCGATGTCAACATGTTAAAAATGGCTCCATAAAAAAAATCAAAAACTTTAGGTTCAAGTAAAATCTGTATAAGGCCTATTAGAATGCAATATAGGTACATACATTTGTACACTGAAGTAAATATTCCATGAATCCATAAACATCCTTTCTACTTCTAATGAGACTGAGTGCTATCCATGGTTTATATATCATTTATTCTTTCTCCTAATGTTAATAATATTTTGCCCTTGTATTTCAGTTATGACATATACAGTTGTACTTCTGTGTGGAGATTTACTGATGCATAACTTTTCAGTGATTTTTTTATTTTTTTATTTCCACACGATTGGAGGACCTAGTCTCTCATTTCAACTTCAATCGTGATGGTTTTTCTTGTTGGTATTAATATTCCTGCAGGCTGCAGTTATATCAATTGTTCCTATCATTTTGATACCATTATGTACACAAGAATTATGTTATTTTAGGATAGAATAGCATCTGATTAACATATTGTACTCGTGGACTAATAAAGCTTAGATAAAATGAAGTAAATATGACATTTAGTTGGAAAAATTAGTTTTCTAGAAGATTCTTTTAGAAATGCAATGAACTTTCAGTTTTCTCTCCTTTTCCTTTTTCTGAAGTTTTGAAGGATAGGCATGGGAAAAATTATGGAGGCGGACACATTCATTGGAAACTAATTTTTTAGTGTGTATTCTATATGGCTGCTGCAAGATAGGTATGATACAATGATCAATGTTTTGGCATCTTGCAGCATGTAGGAATGTAGATTACTTACAAATATTTAGACGATATGCCGAAAATGAGCAATACATGAAATGCAACTGAATGGAGTCGGGAAATCTCTCCTGTCAATTTCCGGATGGTTTAGAACGTCTCTCCTATTTTGGAGAGGAGTATTGTGTCCTAGAATGTAGAATGAAGAAGACTTACTTGTGCAAGGGTTTCAGTGGCGAACCTACTTCTGATGAAAGCAAGTCCTCGTCTTTTCTTTATGTTTCAGTTCACGGGATTTTTTTTATCTGTGAAATAGAAGTTTTTACGGTTCTTCAATGTACATTTTGTTGACGTACATTTGACTATTTAGGTCATCAGATAGCTGTTTAGTAATGTCATTGATCAAGTGAGCTATTAATATCTTACAACGTATTTCTAAGCAAAATTTCCAGGATGGTGATGGTTGAGATTGTAATCCGCTCTGCTGGATCCAAAGCTAAACTGGTAGAAAATGAAGCTTTTTATTCTGTGTAGATTCTTTTGGGAGAATACATATGTGGATCAAGAGTTAGTTTAGAGGAAAAGTTAGGACTTTGCTTAGGAAATTTTTGTACTTTATAGGAAATATGTTCAGCATAAGGAGCAACTGGATGATAATGGAAAGGATTAGACTTGTAATATATAAGATTCAAGAAGAGATGGTTATGATATTGTCATTGAAGTTCTCTGCTCATGACAATCGTTCTGCTCCTTTACAATTTGAATGCGAGAGTTAGTTTAGAGGAAAAGTTAGGACTTTGCTTAGGAAATTTTTGTACTTTATAGGAAATATGTTCAGCATAAGGAGCAACTGGATGATAATGAAAAGGATTAGACTTGTAATATAGAAGATTCAAGAAGAGATGGTTATGATATTGTCATTGAAGTTCTCTGCTCATGACAATCGTTCTGCTCCTTTACAATTTGAATGCCATATCTGCAGGTTATATGAAGATACATAGTGTTTTGGCTGCCAACAGGAACGATATTTGGTACGTAGTGTTAAATTTCTTGTTTGTTTTTCTAATTTTAGTGAAATAGCTAACTCTTGTGATTTCCTGAACATTGTAAACTTAAAAGTCGAGAGGACGATTTCAAGTTCTGTAATGTCATTTGAAGATGCAAAAAAGTTGTCATCTACGTCTTCTTCGATCAAAAATCTGAATTTGTATGATATTGCAACATTTTACTCTGCTATTACTCACTCCAAATTTTATTGTTCACATATATGTAAAGCTTTGAACACGATGAATTACTTCAATCAGCTTATGTTGCGTTGACTATTTGGGTACTGCCTTCAGAAGCTCTAATTCATTTATGAATATCGGTGTGAGCATTGTGAATACATTAGATATTAAAAACTTTGTGAAAAGGATGGACACACTTGTATTGTTGTATTATTAACATGCAGAAATGTTGATACTTGGATTGTTGAACTATGATGATAATTTATTCTCTTCCACGGATAAAAATGAGGGAAGAAGTAAAATGCATTCCATGTCTCATTTGGCAGGGAAGCTTCAACTAATCTTTTTTATCAAATTGGCTTATGAGTATTCTTGCTGTGTGGAGCCTATTTCTTCATATAATCAGCAAGTCATGTAAGTGTTAGGTGAACTTAATAGTTTGCAATCCAGTCAATTCAATTATTTGTATGCCGAAAACACCTGTGAGATGTATTTTGTCCACTTCTTCAAGATAAATCTTGAAACAACTCATTTTAAATTTTAGTAGCAAGAAATAATTTTTATATTTATAATTTATCTATATATTTCCATCAAAGTCCAATACCTGGAATTTTTATAAATGTATGGCACTAAAATTTGATTTGTCATGTTCCCTCTAGTCTTATCTCCAATCTAAACAAGTTTATAGCACCCTTTTTCTTGTTTGATATCATCCAGTGTTTAGCCTACTATTTTTGATAAAAACATACCATTGATGTACTTTATCATGGAAGTCACGACCAGAATACTTCTTGTAGATCTAGTCCGTAAATAGAATACTTTCCCACTCTACATTATTTTTCAGTTGGCCTAGCAAACAGCAATTATGTAATTGTGTTATGATGCAGACAGCAAAAATTTGATATTTTTATATAGGCGAAGTATGTCAAATATTGAAGGGTGTTAACTTGTAACTGATTAGTTCCTGAATATTTTACATGTCTCTTCCTAATATGGCCGTAAAACCAGATATTCTCTTCTGAAACACACGTATGGTTCACCCCATTAGACACTACTGTAGAGGATTAAAGATGAATAAGTAACTAAGCTGTACATTATTGTCGAGTACTATGCAACAAACACTCTTATTAGCTACTGAAGTATAACTATAAATAACCAACTACATTATGATGTGCTTCTTCACTATCCCCTGGCTACTTGATCTATATGCCGTATATCAATATGACTCTATGGTGAAGGCCTTGAGATTTATTTCTATCAGTATCTCTCTGCCTCAAAATTTTGCATGACATGGAGGCAGCCAAGGAATTGCCATCTCATTCAGGAGATGGTAACAATAAGTTTTTATCTTGTTTATGAATAAATTTCTGTTGCAATTGATAGTAAGACACAATTCATGGTAATGAGCAGCAGTAGGCTGTATGATGATGTCTTTGCTGAACTTGGGGTGCCTATTGGTGCCGAGCCATTATCATAGCCTGATGGTATACCAGAGCCAATTCCTCCACCGGGCATGGAAGGTGAAGTTGTGCTGTAATAATAAATATAAATGTATTAGTTTACCACCTTTATTGATGAAGATATGAGACTGAAGTTGATTAGAACATTTACCTGGGTGGTGTCATTGGAGTTGTGGGCATTGTTGGAGTTGCAGGTGGTGTTCCGGAGGTAGTGGAAGAAGCAAAGTGGCAATTCCCATGACCTGTAGCAATGTGACAAAATGTTCAAAGATTATAGCGGTAATAAATGTAACTTTTTATGGGATGTTTGGTGAGATGGACGGCACATAATTGTGTAGAAGAAAAAGAAGTTAGAATGTTGTGATGTCCACTATTGCATTGATGCTAGATTGCTTTTCATTCAGTTTGTATTATTCATCCTACCTATACTTACATTTCTAAATTTCTAATGCTTATGATGCAAACGTGTCGAGTATGAGGGTAGTATAGGTGCCAGTCATGTTAGTTGTGTGCACTAGAACATAATCCATAAGCACAATGATCGTAACAGAATTTTCAAGATGAGATAATGTAACATAATGTCTTACTTGGATCAGTGTTGGTGAGTTGTGCTACTCCCCCGAAATCACAGCTGGTGGGAGATGGGTTCTTCTGATAGTAGCTATTGAAAGCGTAAGAAGCATGGTCACGAACTGTGTTTGGATCATAGCAACTTGCACCTTGTTGAATGGCTGAACAGTCTGTACCTCCATAACCACAAGCATAATCCAAAGCAACTTGTAAAGCAGTTTCTGAAGCTGACGGACTGGCAATACACCAAGCACCACCTGATGATGTCGGAGTAGTGGGTGGTCCGTTGGTAGTTGGTGGAGTTATTGTTGGTCCAGTTGTCGTCGGTGGAGTTATGGTAGGTCCGGTGGGGGTCGGTGGAGTTATGGTAGGTCCGGTGGGGGTCGTTGGAGTTATGGTTGGTCCCGTGGGGGTCGGTGGAGTTATAGTTGGTCCAGTGTTGGTTGGTGCAGGTGGCGTGTTTGGATTTAAACTTGGAGTTGTACCTGGTGTTGGATTTACAATTGGGACGTTTCCTGTAGTTGTATCTCGCAAGGTGGTGGATGCTGAAGATGAAAAGATCATTTGGTTTTCTTGATAGGTGATTTTTTTGCCTTTTCTGATTGCTTCTGAGGGGAGCTCAACTGCAATGATTGTATCTGAAGCCAAAATTCGTGAGTTATAATCTGCTTTAGCTTTTCTTCTTTTACCAAAAAAATAAAGGTAAATATATACTCAACGAGCTTGCTTAGATTCTATTTTTCCAATATCTGGAAATGAATTTCAAATAAAGAAATCATACTATAGATACCGAAAAGTTTCACAGATAACGCGTGGTTTTCATTGGAAGACGAATAATGGGCAAACAAATAGGGTGTTGTAGCCATGTATGGATTCTGTCAAAATAAGCTTGTACGTGAGGCTTAATTCTCAAGTCAATCATGTTCCATTTTTTTATTTTTTATTTTTTATTTTTATTTTCCTGATTTTAACCAGACTGGAAAGTGTCGCCACAGAAAATATAAAAACGCATGGAAAAGGAAATACTAGAGCCAGCATATGGTTATGACTTATGAGTCCTCACTTGTTTTTCTTCAAAATCATCTATAGATAGGTTGTTAAAGATTGTATCAGAACAGATAAATGTCTCGGGATGATGTCAATTAGGCGCTTACTGTCACGTTTACATGAAAAAATTGAATTCAAGCATTTGAAGGGTGGTTGAAGATGAAGTTGAAATGAATAACATTCTTCTTTATATTTTAGTTTTTAGACTCTGGTTAACTTGAAAACGTAAAAATAAGAAGTTGGACAAAGTGAAAAACTTACCCGAAATACAAAGAAAATAGAAGAGAAAGAACATCGAACGCGTGTGCATTCCCCCTTTCATAACTCTAGGTGCTTCTATAATGAAGTCGTGTAGTTTCTTCTTTGCCCAGAACTTCAATATAATGAATAAAGTTTCTTAGACAGGAGGAGGAGGAATGGTGTCTCTGTGAAGAAAGAGTATCTTTTGTGCATTCAATTTATACACGAGTACAAAGAATCATAGCTTCCTTGCATTGAAGAGAAAACAAAATAGACACTGGTGTTGGGGGAATAAAGAAAACTTGAGAGAGGAGGCATTGGGTAGTTGGAAACTGCAAGCAATAAGATGTGCCTAAATAGGTGAAAAGTTGCATAAAAATGGAAATGAAATACTCTGCCTACATTTCCATTTTATGTTTAAGCAATGAGAAGGATCGTGGTAAACTGACAATCAACGTATAAAATAATGTTAAATCTTCTTATATGATTCTTAGTACATACGAGTGGATGTAGAAATCATTCGAACGGATTGATGATAAGAGATTTATATAGTCGACCTCGTATTTATGAAAATTGATGAATTTATGCGATTGAAGAATACTCGCCGAAGCGGAAAATGTGAAAGGGAAAGTAGATCTAATGTGTGTTGATTAAGGTGAAAGTAATATGATGGTGATGTGGCATTCTCTTTTATCTTTCTTGTGTATCTTTTCACTGCTAAACTCTTACACAGAACTAAATCAAAAGCTAAAGATAGGGGGACAATAAGAAAGAGAGATTTTATTCTATGTACGTCTCATGGCCATAAACTAGAAAGTTTTAAACTCTCTTACCTTTGCCACTAGGTTTAGGGTTCTTCAACCTTAGTATTTGCATGGGTGCAAAGCTTTTGGTAAGCCTGAATATATTTGGAGGAGTCGAATTAAACTTCGAGGAAAATGACGTTTTGTCTTATAATAATTGCAATGGCCATTTCTTTCGCTTCCCATTTTTGTCCTCAGCCTGTTATTTTTGGACATGTACTCTCAACGTTAATTTTTCCTGATAGAAATTGTCTAGAGTTACCCTTCAACTCAAGTAAACGAAAAGGATACATTCAAATTGAAGGGGGAAAAAATATATGCAAATGTAATCTCTATCTTCATCTTTCTCACCCGATTTCAAAGCACCCAACATCCTCCGAACATTGTTGTTGTCCAAACAATGTCGTTGCCACTGACCCTGGCTCCAATTCTTAGCAACTAGTTTTTTTTTTTTTTTGGATCTATAAATGTAAAATTCTATTGATTAAAAATCATGTACAACCATGTCAGGCACACCCAAGTAAAACAAATCAAATGACTCGTACAATTCCTCCCGGCATGCCCAGGCATACAAATAAAAGATTTACTAACAATAAGATCAATGACCCAACGCTAAAGACTCAAAATGGATTAAGACATGTGGATAGAAAGAAAGCATAACTTTGTACACGTTTGTCTTAATTCGTCTCAAAATGCTATTCAATTGTTATGCTTCGATTTAGACGCTTTTGAATTTTCAAATTGATACTCAAAAATCTGCATATTCCTATCTTGAATCGAATTATATCAATATTCCTATCTTGAATCGAATTATATCAAAAAGCACGATTCCAAAAAGTTTTACGTTGTAGAACTTTATGTAGGTGGTAATAAAAAAATTTGTAGTTTTCCACGGAAAACGGTCACAAATTCGATAGCTTTGATGACTTTGTTTAGAAGGTAACATAATTATCTATATTGAGACCCTCTAAACACAAATTCTGGAATTCCAAATTTTTGATTTATACATGGAACTTGTTATACAAATTTAACATAAGAATTACGAAAAGGAGGTTTAAGCGTGATTTGACTTGGGTTGGTTTCGACTCCAACCCAAGACCAACAAAATCAAAACTAAATTAATCGGTTTGAGTGAATTTCAACCCAAACCAACATACTCTAACTCTTAAATCGAAACCAGATCGGTTTGGTTAATCGATTGAACTTTTAGTTCAAATTGAATTTTTTTTAAAAATAATTTATCCAAATTTTGGGCCCAATTAGATTACAAGAACTAAAATAATTGAATAACTTTATATTACAAGAATTATTGACTAACAAATAAAATCAGGTTAATAGAGAGAGATCAACAGAAATTTAAGAATTTTGTTGCACTTTTATGTATTATGTAGTATGACTGCCTAAATAGATAAAAATGCAAATTATAACGTAATGAGCCTGTGAAATGAAATTGTCAATATTATTACTTACCGCAACATTGTAGATTAGAGAGAATTGTGATATAGTTATGAGATTATGGCTTATCTTTTGATTTTTTATTTTTTTTGAAAAAAAAAAAAGAAGATAAACATATAAGTTTGGATTGGTCCGGTAAACCAACGATTTGAAGTTTCAATCCCACCCACCATGGTTTTGTTTAAAAAAACCAAATCAAATTAATTACTCGTGTCAAACCGACCTGAGTCGGTTCGATTTGACTGGTTTGATCAATTTTTCAATTTTTTTGCTCAGGCCTAACGAAAAGTTTATACAAACGGTGTTTTCCTACTATATAAAAAGGGGAATTTGGAGGCACTGTTGAAATGAACAGTGTTTTGTTCCATTTTGTTTCAATGTAACTTTTTTTTTTAAGTGGGGAAGCAAAAACAACGTCGTTTGCCTTGCTTGATAAATATTATATCATACAATAAAAAAAGGCAATCTAAATTTACTGCAACACACAACTTTTCATACCTCCCACCAAAAATTTAAAGTAATATTTAGATATACTTAATTTTAGAAAATTAAATATTAATAAAAATATTACTATAGAATTAAATATCGTTTGGAATTATTAAAAAATAAAAATAAAAATATTAATAATATAAGATAGAAAATATTTCTAAGAAGTAAAAAGTTACTTGTGAGTAAAAAAATTGAAGAGAAAAGAATTGAAAAGAATTTTAAATTGAAAAAAAATATTTATAATGTAAACAAAAAAAATTTAAATCTTTTCGTGCACGGAGTTTAAAAGTCTCTGTGCGTGAAGACCGCACGGAGACTCTTAGTCTTCGTGAGTCTGCATAAACGTCTCCATACATGGAGACATTTTTTATTTTTTATACACTATAAATAATTTTTTTCAATTTAAAATTATTTTTAATTCTTTTCTTTTCGTAATAAAATTTAATTTTTTCAATTTTAACTAAATAATATTTATATATTCTTTATTTAATTTTCATAAGTTTCTTTTAATTTGTTTTTATTATATTTTTTTGAAAATTGTTTTAAAATTTCTTTTTTCTTCGTATTATAAATACTTTTTTTCGTTTTAAAATTCTTTTCATCTAAAAATCAATTTTTTCAATTTTAATTAAATAATATTTAATTTTAATTTTAATTATTTCGATTTAATTTAAAGACATTATAATAATTTTTTTTGTTTCTTTTTTATTTTTACTTCTAATTTCTGTTGTTGTTTAATTTGTTAAATCATTCAATTTCTTTATCTAACCTTATATAAAAAGCCAATGAATTGGCTACTGTAGATGCAATAATATTCCAATCTCATTCCCATTCTACTGTATGAAGTGCAAAATGACGTCAATTTTTATTTTATTTTTTTTGCAGCAAATTTGTTATTTTTCCCCCTTAATCGTGGGAAAAAACGACGTAGTTTCGTCTTCGATCTTTTTATATTATTGTATTACTATTACTTACTGTATGTAAGAGGCAATTTTTGAGTGGACACTTTTGCAATTTTATATCATCATGTCCATTATTATTTTTTATAATCTCTATCTCTTACACTACCTTTTCTTTCATTTTCACACGCAATCAACAATGTTTTTTTACTCTTTCTTCATTTTCACACGTTACAACCATGCCTCTCCACTTCTCAATTTCTTCACACAAAAAGGATTGGTTGTCTGACAGTTCGGGTGTGTTTGATTAACATGGAAAATATTACCTAGAAAAGAAAATATTTTCCATCTTTTGTGGAAAATAAAAACCACCTCTACCTAAAGAAAATATTTTCCTTAAAAACAAGGAAAATTAGGCATATTTTCAAAAGTTGGAAAATGTTTTCCATGGAAAAAAATAGCAATCAAACACTCAAAGTGAAAATTTGGATGGAAAACTGATATTTTCCATGGAAAATAAATGTAATCAAACACACCCTTCGTGTTTGTGTGTTTGTGTGCATTTTAAGCTTGTAGCCATTTTGGAATTTTTATAATCAGTAATAAGAAAAATGTTTTTTAAATCATAGAAAAAAATCTAAACTTTTCTTTTTCTAATTCATCCGTTCAAGCAATTTTTTTCCCATAACCATGAATTTAATTAAAGACCAGTTAATAATAAACACAAATCCAACTACCATGAATTTAATTGAAGACGAGTTGATAAAAACACCCTACATATATAATTTTATTAGTAATATTTTTATTTGTTAATAACTTTTTACATATTTTTTATTTGTACCGCAAACGAATATATATTATCTATTTTTTTTTAAATTGAATTTTTTTGTGCATTACAATGTATACATACAATAAGTGTAGTGTGTACATAGAAAAAATGTATTAGGGAATTTGTTTTATCTAAAAAGACTAATAATCTAATTCTAAAAATGAACTTTGCAAAAGGATGAGATGAAAAATAAAAATCAAATAACAAAAAAGCAATATTTCTAAAAGAGATGGCAATTACAAATGTTATCTTCCAACAACAACTGTCCGAAATAAAAAACAAGGCTGAAAAATAAACAAAATAAAGCAAAGATAGAGTGAGAAAAAAAAGAAAAAAGTAGACGATAGAAAACAACAAAAGTAAAATGAAAAAAGGGCAAAAAAAAAGGGTCTCCGTGACACGGAGATTGTTCACGGATTATTCCCCATGATATGGAGACGATTTCATGGACTTTGTCTCCGTGTCACGGAGAAGAGGTTCTTCGTAACACGGAGACGAAATCACTCCAGGTCACGAAGAAGAGGTCTCCATGCCATTTTATTTATTTATTATTTTTTTTATTGTTTTGCCCCACTGCACGGAGTAAGTCTAGGCAAAATATAAATCACTTCACAATACACAAAACTCAACCCTATTTTCTTCTCACGCTCTCTCTCTCTTCCCCCCTAGTCACACTGTAAGCCGCCTCTCTTATTTTCTCGCAAAATTGTTGACATGTTTTCAATTGCCAACGCTGGTAGGATGCCCATTAAAGCTTCAGCAAATGAGCTTAGGAGGGAGGATGAGATGTTTGGATACCCAATTATGTTTCTTGTCCTCAAAGAAAAAGGTCTTGAGCAGGAGGGAAACCACAGAACGAGAATATTGGAAATCAGATAAAACTTAGTGGTAAATTTAAGGGTAAGATATTGAAGGTCATTGCTAAATCTGGTGCCATCAAGTATCAATTTGTTTTTTGATCTATTTTCTTTTGTTATGATATTTCTTATGAAATAAGTGGCTTTATTTATATGTGTATGTGCGGTTGGATGAATTTTAGTTCTTGACCAATGGATAGAAATCTTTAAAAAAGTTTGCTATTTTTTTCATAAGGGTTCCCTTGAAATATCTTGGGAACTAGGAGAATGGGGAGCTAATAAAGGTTACCTATCTTTAACTTATTTTCTATTGTAGAAATAATTGTCCAATTTATTTAAGGTCTGCCGATGCTCGTGTGCTTAAATGTTTATCAACAGCAAAGTAACCCAATCATTTTCCATTGATTCGTGCAATTACATGTTGAGGTTTCATGATGCTGAATTTTTCATCTTTGCATCTAATCACTCCTATTCCTGCATGACCTACACCTTAGACATATATACTTTATTTGTTTGAGCAGTTCTATTCAAAATTTGAGGAAAAGATCCACGCTAAGAAAGCAGAGAAGATTAATTTACAAGCCAAAACTAAGGTGAGATTTTGTATCATATTATGAAGTCAAACTTTCATTGGTGGATTGTGAGATCAAGTTTCTCCATCTTTCCTTTTTTTTCTTGAGTAGGAATCTCGGGGGGCTGAGATTAAAATGCTAAAGGAAGAGTTTGGCATTCAAGGCAACACCAATGCCAAGCTTTTATCAGAAACCTCCACTGCTGAAACTGGAACTAAAGAAGGTAATTTGTTGATTTGTTGCTTGTGACACAATTTGAATGTTAAAAATTTTTATTTTCTATTTATAATTTGGAATGTTGTGTTAAAATGTAATAATTAATTTGGAACATTTATGCAGTGTATTAAAAGCGGGCTTCTTAAGTTTAGAGCTTGAACTTGATCGATTGGATTTGGATCTATGACAGTTTAGATAAAATATCAATGAATGTTTTATATGCAAGTATGCAAGAACTTATTTCACTTGCTGCTTTTGAATACATCGGAAAATATTATGGTTCTCGTTGATAATTTGCACTGATGTTGCATAATGTGTTGGCATCAAAACTAACAAGCTACAATCCTTTTTGCAACTATACTTTGACTAATTCGAGGATGCTTGCTATTTTGATTGCTTCTTTTTTTCAGAATGTTTTATTTGGAGCATGCTTATTGAAAATTGTAGACGATCGTCCACTAACACTTGGGGAAAAATAGTTAATCAGTGTTTCTACTTCATTGTATTAGTTTTGATTGGTTGGGTGAAGCATTTTCTTGCATTTAAACTTTGGAAAGACGAGAAAGCTTAATAATATAATTTAGGGTAATTGACACGAAACATCCCTACCTTTTATATCTATTGTGAAAAACGTCTATATCTTTCATTTTTTGGCATTTTTGCCCTTATTTCCACCTTTTTTTGCGCTGAACGTCATTTTCACCAATTTCGAACAATTTTACCCTCCATTCAAATTTTAAAAAAATAAATAAAAGAAACAACAAATAACTAATTGCAATCATAGTCCCCAATTTTAAAAAATTACAAATCAGTCACAAATATAAAAGGAGTCTCACCGATTCGGGTCCCTAATCTCCACCGCGTACTTGCCCCACGACAGCCATCTTACGCCTCTGTAATGACTCTTCTCCTCCACAGTCGAGTTGTCTTGCACCGTCGCCCCCGAGTTCGAATGGGTCGACTCAGAGAAGTCGATCTTGTCGAATTTCTTTACTTCCGTCAATTCAATCTTCAATGAAGGCTTGCTCTCAGTAAATTTTTACACGTTTGGTGTAGTAAGGTCTATAACTAGAGGATTTAATTGATTTTGCCCCAAATCTTCGGACTCAGGGCTTGAAAAGTCGCTAAAATCAAAATCACTCTGCTCAAGATTCATAAAATAATTAGAAATCGAAACTAAATAGTCAGATTGAGAGCTCAAAACTGATGAATTTATGCGACTAGTTCTTTTGATATTGGCAGCAAACGAGAGCTCTATTGGAGAAAACTCCCCGAGAAGATGCATTCTAATTTGTTCAATTGCCGAAACTTCTGCTGGATTTACCATCTAATGTAATTGATTCTAGCTAGAGAAAATAAAGATGAAATGGATTTTAGATAGCGGAAAGTTGGGAGAGGAAATGGATTTCAATTTTCAATAATAGTTTGATGAGCCATTTCCAAGACACTTCCATGTACAGTGCACTTTCAAAATATACAATTATATATAATCTTAAAAAAATGTATATATTTGTGACTAATTTGTAATTTTTTAAAATTGGGGATTGGATTGCAATTAGTTATTTGTTGTTTCATTTTTTTTTATTTTTGTTTTATTTGAACGGAGGGTAAAATTGTCTAAAATTGGTGAAAATGACGTTCAACACCAAGAAATGTGGAAATAAGAGCAAAAATGCCAAAAAATGAAAGATATGAACGTTTTTCACAATGCACATGAAAGATAGTAATGTTTTGTATCAATTACCCATACAATTTATATTTTTCTTGACACTTGTCTTTCCTTTGCTCTAATCCAAACAAATAAATATCACAATTAAACACCTGAACATATATACAATGTGTTGTAACATAAAATCATAGCATGATTTCCTATATTTACTTGTCGAAGCTAACCAGCAAATAATACTTTGCCAATAATTTCATCTTCCCATATATTTTTAAAAAATGTTCCATAGTACACTAACCAAACCAAAATTGATGCACAACTTGTGCATCGCATGTATCATCGACTAGTCATATAAAAAAAAAGGGTTTCAATTTGTGATTTAAAACAAGTAACATAAGAATGCACTAAAACACAATTTGTATAACTTCTAAACACAAACACAAAAGAATGCACTAAAACAACTTGTTATGACACAAATTCTGGAATTCCAAAGTGTAATCTGCCTTCTAATTCCCTGGGTATTAACAATCGAGCCCCCGTTTGATCCCCATTAATTTAATTTCTATTTTTCTCTCTTATTTTGAACTATACAATTTTTTATAAAATAATATTACACGTAAATGGAAAACTTTTTTCTTTTTTCAATCACTCATTCTTCAAAAAAATACTATACCACGTATTAAAATTTAAAATAATTGGGACCAAATGGGGGCCAAATATATTGAGCGGCTATGACATTAGTTAAATATAAAATTCGACTTTCACGCATTTTTCTAAAGGGAAGTTTGAAATTGCATTTCAGGTTACTTTAGTGTAGCATTGAAATATAAATTATTTTTGCTGATAGTAAGAATATGTTTCGTACACTCTATTAGATTGGGGAATGTGATTAAGGATGATAGGATTAGAAGGCCGTTTTAGGTGTGTTGACATTCGAAATTCGATCTGGTAAAAACAGTTCGCTAACTCCACCTCAGTTAAACATAAGTTCGGCCCACACTCTCAGGTCAGAGTTACCCACCGTTATCTTAGAAAAATATCATGATTACCCCTTATCACATCACCCTATCAATCAGAGACACTTGCCACAGGTGATGTCATTGCCGCCCAGAATGGCCAATCCCAAGTCCTCGAATTCCAGCCCCCTACAGGTCATCATTATTTTGGCAATACATTGGCACATGACCACTAGCCTCATTGACCAATCATTGAAGAATTCGGTGACCTGAGTTGCGAGCTCGGCACTGTTGCTGATTTGATTGATTTGATGTAATTTCGACTGAAATCTGTATAAATAGTTGAGTAGGACCCTTGTAAAGGTAGAGCGAATTGAGATAACGACTTATGACACTATCACATCTTTATGGTCTTTTCTAAATACAAATCGCCTTTTTTCTTAAAGTTGGTTCAAATCATCCTTGCTAATTTTGACATCAACAGTTTGGCGCTAGAAGGAGGGCCCTAATTGTGAAAAATAGTTTCATTTGCTCCATAAAAAAAAAATCTTTCAAAGGCCATGAGTCATAGCTCAAGTTCCAAAAATTCATCTCACACCCACCCTCATGAAACGAATGTACCACTGAATTCTCCACAATGGCAGGACCCTCAAATGATTGCAATGAGGGAAGCCCTAGAAAAATTGATAAATGCAGTAGGTTGAATGGAAAGGAGCCAAGCCCATTCGTCCCCACCAGATACTGAGGTTGAATCCCTTGTAAGGACAAAGACAAAGCGTCCCCCCACCGGGAGGACTCTCCACTTTTCAAGAGGAGAATCATCAAGAAGCCAAATCGACGAGGTCAAAAGCAAGGAACCTAAGGCGAGAAGGACTGCAAGTGTGTTCGACAGATTGGGGACTCATCACTCGCTGACCCCTACGCAAGGACAAACCGACCTGAAACGCCCTTTGGAACAAACAGAACCCAAACTAAGCGCGCTTAAAAAACGCATCGCCGGACTGGAGGCTAAAAACAAAGGTAGAACGAAAGGTTACCAAATCAAACGACATTCCCCCTTCGCCGAGGATGTCCTCATAGAACCATTGCCTGAAAAATTGAAAATTCCCCATATCGCTGCATACGAAGGAGATAGTGACCCCCTCGACCACCTTGACAAATACACCTCATGGATGGAACTACAGGGGGCAAGCAGCGCAATCATGTGCCTAGCATTTTCCCTAACTCTAGGAGACAAAGCCCAAAGATGGTTTAGGAGGCTACACGAAAGGTTGGTAAAAGATTGGGATGACCTACCCATGGCATTCTTGGCCCAGTTTATGGGCTCAAAGGCTAGAACTACACCCAAAGAACGTCTAGTGAGCATCAAGCAGGGAAGAAGTGAATCCCTCAAAAGCTATCTGAGTAGATTCAACAAGCAATCCATGGAAGTAGAAAAAGATTTGACGATGCGGCACTCATGGTCGTATTAGCAGGACTAAGACCCAAAACGAGATTCTGGTGGTCAATACACGAGGACGGCCCATGGACTTATCACAAGTTCCTGAACCGAGCTGAGAAACACATAAGTGCTGAAGAAGCAACCTCTGACCAAGAGGAAGCAAGACGCGAAATTGACCTCAATGATGCGATGAAAGAGAAAAAATCAAGCCGCAGTCCTCAACAAGAAAGAAAGAAGGACAGGAGGGAAAAAGAACGTCCTAGGGCTCAGCCGTACAAGTTTCGGGAGTACCACCCACTCAAAGCCTCCTTGAAAGAGGTATTCATGCAAGCCAACACAAAAGAAGCATTTCGCAGACCTATAGTCCTAAAAAACGAACAGGCTGTACAACGCCAAGGACGATACTGTCGATACCACAGGACGATGGGCCATGATACTGATAACTGTCGGGACTTAAAAGAGGAAGTTGAATCATTAATTCAACGAGATCGGTTACAGGTGTTTGTTGCCAAGCCAAAAAAAGCAAATCGACCTATGATGCATCAGCCACAGCTGCAGGGGGCCCCCATACGAGCCCAACAGGCGATCCCCAATCATAAACCACCTCCACATGCTGAAATCAAAATGATGGTGGGCGGAAATCAGTATATTGAAGGATCCAGAAGGGCCAGGCGAAGGCAAGCCCGAAGTGCAAAAATCGTACCGAACTACTAGAATCAAATCCCTAGGACTGACATTGACCCCGAATCATTCTGGTTCACGGAAGAAGATTCTGAAGGAATCCTCCAAGACCAAAGTGACGCCCTGGTGGTCACAATGATGGTCGCCGGAGTGAAAGTCCACCGCATTCTAGTGGACAATGGAAGTTCGGTCAATATGCTGTACTCATGAACCTTAAGACAGTTGGAAATATCAATTCGCTACCTCCAACTGTATCCAATGAAGCTACAGGGATTTTCTGGGGATCCTATCAAAGCCCTAGGTCAGATAGTCCTTAGTGTGGAGCTGGGCGAAGCTCCTCGCCAAAGAAGAATCTTAGCGAATTTTGTGGTGGTTGATTTATGTCCAATTACAATGCAATATTGGGACGACTCATTTTGCATGAACTAAAGGCTTCCACATCAATTTATCATTATAGTGTGAAATTCCTCACCCCTTACGGGACTGGAATTATCCAAGGGGATCAAGCTACTGCAAGGGCCTGCAACGTCGACTTGCCAAGGCCACAAGTCAACATGCTGAGGAGTAGGACGAACACACAAGTCGAGGAAGCCAGATCGAAGAGACCAATCGTTGCAGATCTCTCAGAGATAGGCATAACGGAAAAAATCTCAAAAAAGCCACAGACGAGCAACTATCTTTTGACGAGAAGGAGGCGGACCCACACCCTTACCATGGAGTTATGGTAATCTCGTTGCCTGTAGCCGGGGTAACCATCCCCAAAGTCTTGGTGGATACAGGAAGCTCTCTAAACATCCTATTCAGCCACACCCTAAAATGGATGGGTATCCCTGCTAACTTTCTTCAACCATACCCAAATATGATCCTAGGATTAAACGGAGCCTTGACTTCTGCCAAAGGATCAATCAAACTCAAAGTCGAGTCTGGATCAATGTCTCGACAGTTGAAGACGAACTCCAAGTTTGTGGTGTTCAACACCTCCTCCCCTTATGATGCTGTGATGGGACAGCCGCTACTCTTCAGCCTGAGAGCAGCAGTTTTCCTATATCACTATTCTATCAAGTTCCTCACACCCCATGGTGTGAGGGAAGTCAAAGGAAACAAGGAGCTCGCCGAAAGTTGCCAATGGAAAACTTACACTAGCCATCAACACAGCTTCCCGGGGGTACATATGGTGAACATATGGGAATCCGAACTCATTCCCTTAGACCAACAGACCATGATCGAAGGCGTAGAACCCGTAGAAGTACTAGAAGGAGTTCGAGTCTGTGCCAAGGACCAAACAAAGGAACTCAAAGTTGGGTGCGAGTTGCAGCCCTCCACCCGAAGCAAGATTGTGGCTTTTCTTAAAGAGAACCTCGATGTCTTCACCTGGGATCACAGTGACATGAGAGGAATAGATCCTAATATTACATGCCACAAATTACAGGTGGATCCTTAAGTTCAGCCAAAGCAGCAAAAACGATGACCTCTGAACCCTAAAAGATATGAAGCACTCAACAAAGAAGTACAAAAGCTGTTGAACAACGATTTCCTCCGTGAAGCCAAATACCCTAAGTGGGTCGCGAATCCAATCATTGTGAATAAGCACAACGGAGATTGGAGGGTATGCATAGATTTCACCGATCTCAACAAAGCATGTCCCAAAGACAGCTTTCCATTGTCGAGAATAGATCAAATGGTGGATGCCATAGCCAGACATGAGCTACTCAGCTTCATGGACGCGTATTTCGAATACAACCAGATACCAATGTATGGCCCAGATCAGGAGCATACCTCATTCATAACTGATCGAGGTCTTTACTGTTACAGAGTAATGCCATTCGGTCTCAA